AACATGCTCACTTCCATTGGGGATGAAAAAACACACCCTATCTGGCCCGCCCCACCCCCTTTTCAGTGGGCCACTGTGAATAAAAAATGCCCGGGCCAAATTTTTTCCCCAGTCCGGCCCTGCCTGCAATCCACATCAATCTAAGCAAATAGGACCTGCAAATTGCCCACGTAGAGAGATGGCACAACATAAATCGAAGAAAGGTACTGCCAAAGCAGAAAAACTAATTTTTTTTTAAAATAAACGGCAAACGGAGACTGTGGAGACTCAGCGGCCCTCACAAGATGGCGGGACCAGCCCTGAGTATCAAGACTCACAGTAAGACACTGAACAATCCACATCAGACAACATACTTACCAAAAGCCACTTGCAAACGGCGCTTGACAGCTTATCCCAGACACTCATTATGTCCTGGAAGCACTCCATGGACACCCTGAGGAAAGATGTACAAGAAGTAAGCAAAAGAACGTTACAAGTGGAGTCCAAAATGGACGATTTCGCTACAGCACACAATGACCTGGCAGCTCATGTGGAACAACTGGAGCAAAACTGGTGCATCTGGAGGATCGCTCCAGAAGAAACAACTTACGATTGAGAGGGATCCTGGAATCGGTCCCCCCAGAAGAATTACAAATGTACGTCAGAGGCCTACTAAAAGCTTATGCACCCGACATACCTGAAGATATGCTGCTCTTAGATCGAGTCCACAGAATACCGAGGCTGCGACACTTGCCAAACACAATCCCAAGAGATGTGCTCGCAAGAGCTCATTACTTTCATATAAAAGGAATAACCCTACGAGCAAGCAGAAACCGTTCTACAACGCATCAGGACTACCCCACAGTAAAAATATTTGCAGATCTTTTAGCTACCACACTGTGGAGAAGAAAAGAGCTCTCGCACATTGCGGACAGGCTACGGGTCAACAGGATAAGATTCCGATGGGAATTCCCCACCAAAATGTTAATTTCGCGAGAGGGGACACTACATGTCATAACCTCCCCAGAAGAAGGGATCCGCAAGCTGCAAATGTGGGGCATCATGGAACACTCCGTAGAAGCAAATAAAAACACATCACCCCCACACCGACTGCAGGTAGAATGGAGTAAAGTACCTGCAAGATGCGATAGACACTAAAAAAGAGAAAGAACACCCCAGCATGCAAGCAACAAAGCTTCACATAGGCATACGGAATTCCTCTACTACTTCAAAGAAACCCTCTAATAACCAACCAAACACCGCCCAGATTAAGAAGCCACAAGATCGCACAGGACCATTTACCAATATACAGGCATCAAGGCAACGAGGACTATACCTGACACGGTGAATAATGACCTGACAACCCTCTCAACTCCAAAAGAAAGACTCTATAAGGCTAATATGACAATACACAAAGCTGCCAATGGAAAATCCCATAAGTCTACCTGCCAAACTTGTGAAGGTCCAGGTATCACCCATGCACACACTCACACACCCAGGTTACACCTTGCTCCTTCACGTGCAAGAAAAAACAGAACAGTAACATATTTTCTTTAACAAAAACACATCTAATCTGTGATGGGACTTGACGGAGGACTTATTAGCGACCATTTCACATAGCCTATAATTTAGGCATTATTAAGATACAGCACAATGCCAACCTGTACTACATGTGACGGAGGGCATATATCTGTGTAAAGTCAGGCATACATGGGCTATTATATATGTGTTCACCGAAACCAGATGAGGCAGTCCATAACGGTATAGAAGGACGGATGACGCTAGTTAACAAAATAGTACAACGTTCAAATATGAGTAATTGACAATATAGTTATAATATTACTAATTTGTTAAAAAAAAATGTTTACACATGTTTAAACTAACTGTCTATGGAATGGAAGAGGATTGTCTCCAAACTCTTTAGGATATGGCTTTCCACAAGTCTGCTAAAATGCTCATATATTATATTGAATATGTAATGTTATCACGCTAGCACCACAAAACAATAGAAGCAAGAAGGCATAAAATACAATATGCATATCATGTAATATGCATTGGGAATGTTTTTATGGTTATATGCAATTTCCTTAAGGCTTGCAACAGCTGCTCCATACCGAGTGCACACTACACACAGGTCCTATACAAAACAACTGTGTCATTAAGGCCGTTAGCCACCCACACGGATTTCTTCATATCCATCCCCCATGGCTCTACCACCAGGCGCCATGACCCCACGAGGGGTATATATCCAAGTTACACCCTTCCTTGCCACCCGTTTCTTCAACCCCTCCTTCAATTTCCTGATAGAGGTAACACTCTCACCTTCAGACTACCTCCGTACAAAATAAAAACCAAACTGAAAATCTCCCTTGTCAAACAGATTGGAGATACCAAAAAAGCTCAGAGATACCAAAACTACAGCCGTAGTAAGACCAAGACTATTACAATCGCTAAAACACGACCAACAACTTAGTATGAAAATACAAACTCACAACATAAGGGGGCTAAACACCCCACATAAGAGAAGGGTTCTCTTAGAGTCCATGAAAAAGGAACATATAGATATAATGTGCGTACAGGAGACTCATTTCTAACACAACAGCATACCAGAATTTGGTCCAAAGACTATCCTACACAGCACCATGCAACACACTCATACAAATCAAGAGGGGTGTCCTTTCTCCTCCATAAATCCCTTACGTTTGAACTATTACAAGTTAAAAAAGACCCACAGGGGCGTTCTCATAATCCACTGTATTATTAATATGGTCAGATATACATTGGTGGGGATATACGGTCCAGCATTAACCAGAGGAATTTTCTAGTTAAAGTCCTCAACAAAATTCCGATCACACAAAAATCCTCCATGATTCTCTGCGGAGATGTAAACCATGTCATGCACCCACTGGCAGACACAACACTGACTACAGACTCTGCCAGGACAAAATCCCTAACACAGCAATGTAAGGCGCTTACCAAACTAATATTAGAGCATAACTTGTACAATGTATGGAGAGTTCATCATCCACATGGAAAAGAGTGCAAATACTTTTCACAAGTTCACGGATCCTACTCTAGAATTGATACAATACTAGTCACAAACGACATCCTACCGAGAGTAACAACCAGCTCGATTGGAGACATAGTGTGGTCAGATCACGCCCCGGTGACAGTAACACTCCAGGCTAAATTTGACCACAGAGAAAAAGCCCAGTGGCGTCTGAATGACACCCTAATTCATAATGCTGATTTTAGGACAACATTAAATGAGTATATCATAGAATATTTTAGTATCAACTCACTCCCTGAACTCTCACCTACAACCACATGGAAAGCACACAAAGCGGTAGTCAGGGGGATTCTCATCAGCAGAGCTTCTTACCTCAAAAAATCTAGGGAAAAAAAACATATCTAGACTTACTAAGAGATCTCCAGACTACCCCGTTTCTAAAAAATACCAAAGAACACACGCAAGAATTAATCAAAATTACCAAACAACTTAATGAGATAATTTTGGAAAATACGGCACACACACTCCAAAAACTTAAACTACGCAATCACAACCAAGGCAGCAAAGCGGGGAAAACACTAGCATCCCTATTACGGCAGAAACAAGCCCAATCAAAAATTCCCTACTTATACAACCGCACAGGGGGGAAAATATATAACCCACAAGAAATATTGGTAGAAATGGCCAATTTTTATGAATCCCTCTATAACTTAAAAATAGATCCGCAGACCCACCAACCGACTTCCACGGAGACCCAAAACTTGTTATCCACGATAACCTTACCTAAACTATCACAAGCACAAACAGAGACACTCATGCACCCCATAACTTATAACCAAATAATAAAATCACTACCACACGGCAAATCTCCAGGCCCGGATGGCTTAACTAAAGCTTACTATGAAACGTTCAGCCACTCGATAGGACCACATCTAGTGGACACATTCAACCATGTATTAAACACCGGCACTATACCGCAAGAAATGCTGTTGGCACATATAGTCACCCTGCCGAAGCCGGGCAAACCACCAAATAAACCACAAAACCTACAACCCATTTCTCTATTAAATACGGACACAAAAATCCTAGCAAAACTATATGCTACTTGAGTGGCGAACATAATACCCACCGTAATAGAGAAGGACCAAGTAGGTTTTGTAAGAGGTAGACAAGGAGCAGACGGGAAGAGGAAACTGCATAGTCTACTATATCGAAAGCAGGAGCATGGGGAGCCCAGTGTATTCCTGTCACTGGACGCTGAGAAAGCGTTTGACAGGCTGCACTGGGAATTCCTAAGAGAAGTTCCTGATTTTAGCACTATGCTTCAAACCTTCCGCCAGGGTCACAAATGGGGGATTCGTGTCTCCGGCCTTCTGCATCTCTAACGGAACACGACAGGGCTTTCCGCTGTCCCCCCTCCTGTACATATTAGCCCTGGAACCACTGATGCAAGCAGCCAGAGAGGACAAGTCGGTTACAAGTATCATGGGAGGAGGGAAAGAATATAAAATCACGGCATTTGCTGACGATGTAATGTTATCACTAACCAATCCGCAAACTTCAATAAAATACTGGCGAAATATAGTGCCTGTTCCTACTACAAGTTAAATGTTACAAAGACGCAAGCCATGTGCCTATACACAACACCAGAAATCGCCAAAACACTACAACACACCAACACATATGAATGGAGACAGGACCACCTTACATTCTTAGGCATTAAATTTACCACGCATGCACATAAATTATTCAAAGCCAATTACACAACACTTCTCCACAATATAAATAACCAGTTTACAAGCAGGAAAAATAAATATGTCTCATGGACTGGCAGAGTGGCTGCTGTGAAAATGATGATACTTCCCAAACTCCAATACCTGTTTCGCACCCTACCCATACAACTGCCCAAACAATACATAAGAGAGGCAAAAAAACACTTAACTCCTTTGTATGGGCCCAGAAGAGACCTAGAGTCGCAGCACACATACTTTATCTACCCCAAAAACGAGGAGGCATGGGTCTCCCAAATATTGATCTCTATTACAAGGCGGCAATCACTGGTCCTATAGTGGCAGTCTTCCATCAATATACCTCACCACCCTCTTGAGTGCAATTAGAGGCATCTTACACTGAGGGGTATGATATCACCGTAATAGCGGGAATAAACAAGCCACACAGGAAAAAATTCCAAACGATGCTCCCGAAAACATCCTTGACGCTAAAAGAATGGGACAAATATACCCAAACTCTCGACCCCAACAAAGAGATCTCCCTAATGATGCCTCTCAGATCCTTCGAAAACCTGATCCCAAACCTGAATATAAGCAGATGGGGCAAGCGGGGTATAACACATATACATCAACTTGTAGACAAAAATGAACCCATCCCCTTTCAAACATTAAAAAGTTAATTTAAACTCCCAACCTCGGCTGCATTCGTCTATAGACAGATAAGCTCATGGATAGGGAGACACCGGGAGACAAAAGGCATACTAACCGCAAAAGGGAACATGTCTGCTTCGGAGCAACTATGCAAAAACACCAATAAAACACCAGATATCATGTCCAAAATATATGACAGCTACCACCCTAGCAAAGAGATACGACACATGACCTTTGTAAAAAGATGGGAAAAGGACATAGGTAAACAACTACCAGATGAGATATGGCGACAGATATTTATGACCAACAAAGCACTAACTCTTTGCTCTTCCCAAATGGAAATGTCCAAGAAGATGTTATATAGATGGCATATGGTACCCACAAAATTAAAACACATAGACCCCAAACAAATAGGTGCATGTTGGAGATGTGGGCATAGCATAGGCGACACTCTCTATATATTTGGTGGACGTGCCACGCAATGACCAAACTTTGGGATTACACAAGAAGCCTCATACAGAAAGTAGGGAAAGTTGACATACCATTAGTGCCAGAAACATTCCTCCTGCAACACATCCCGACACATTTACCCAAACCCCAGAGATACATTGCCTACCACATAATTATGGTAGTAACCAAAGCCATAGCCAAAGCCTGGCTCCGGAAAGACCCGCCCTCGATAGAAACATGTATTCCCAACTGGAAACGATCAAAACGTATGAACACATAGCCAGAGCCCACCGGGCTCCACAAAAATTCTGGGTGGAGGCATGGGAACTATGGGATGCATACATACAGACACACCAATCATAAACGGGAAGGTGACGGGCAGATATCTGAAAGCAATAGAAAAGTAGACCTACAGAACAAAGCAAAAATAAACAGTTATTCAGAGAAACAATGAATACCTCCTAGCATGAAATATAGAAACACTCACAAATATACAAAAACAACTGAACAAAGGGGAAGAATCTCCACATCCTGTGTCTTAGAACTACTAGACGTATATCATGAACATAGGAGAAGAACAAAACAATATACGACCTAATTTGTGAAACACAAACACAAAACATCTACAACTGGGCAAACGAAAAAACTTATAGGACTGTACGAACAGCTCCAGAATCTAAAAAATGCACATACCAGGTAGAAAAACAAATTAACAAAACAAATTAACCAAACCGACCCCGGGATACCCCTTCTAACCACCCCCAGTTTATGTTCCCCAAAACCGGTACATAAAGATGCCAGGCTAAAAGAGGTGGGCCCTGGAAAAGCCATCTAAGATATACATGAGCAAGGATGTTATCTATGCACGAGGCTCAAGAAATGTTAAATGTTAAACGTAACACAACCTTGACAGAGATAAGCATGTATGTATAGTAAATTCCACCTGCAATGTATTACTGTAATTGCAATGAAAATGTAAATGAAATGCAAATAAAAAAAATAATAAAAGGTTTACTTCAAGCACCATGTGCACGTGACTGATTTGAAGTGGTCATGGTGCCTGGAGTCTATATGAAACGCTGCAGATATGATGAATCCCTGTGTTGCTGGAGGTGTAATTCACCTCCAACAGCGTCAATGGTGTGTCATTAGCCAGCCCAGAAAAATAATTTCAAATGGCTTGTGAATCCTGTGCAAATTTGGTGTCTGACGTCAGGACACACCAAGTTTTGACTGTGGTATTTTATGTGCCCACCTCCCCACCCCCCTACATATTTGCCACTGTTTTGCTCACTACCTGCAGTGCGATATCTGCCTATGCCACAATGTCTTGTCATAAATTTAAATGTTTTACATATGTTTGTATTGACCTGGTTAAGAGTACTACAGATAAAATCTGAATTTTTCTTTTTTTTTTTTTTTTTTATGATTTTGATTTTCTTAAATATGATGAATAAAAAAAAAGAGTGCTATATAACTATGAAGCTTACAGAATTTACTGTAACTGTTACTATCTTAAACTTGACATTCTCTGACACAGATGGGATGCAAGATTTTGTATGTCAGTGATCAACAACTCGTACAGCTGTGGTCCTTAAGTTGAAAAATGTTTTTTTTATATTTTTATAATGTTAGCCCAAATCCTTTGAAATTGTGCCAGCCACCAAGCAAATATTCCCAAACCAATCACTACAAAAATTCTACGTGAGGATAACTGCACATTTTCCTCAATAAACTAAAGGTTTTATTTTAATGGTGAAGACTGCTTTTATGTATTGAACGGTTAGTAAATAAGAGATTTTATCTGTAATAAAAATATAACCTGCTGAGAAAGGAATGAGTGTTGAAAGAAAGCTGCAGAAAAAACTCCGTCAACAAATGTGATCCTTTGACAAAAGTCGTATTTCTGGATACATAGCTGCAGCACCTTCCTTTAACGTGTTATGTCTAAATCTTCTCCTCTCCACATCTAAAGATTGGAAAAAAATAGACAACAGGGATAAAAGAAAAATCTGCATTGCACCAGTGTCATTTTTACAGAGAAAGGCATTATGGTGTCATGTGCAGTCTTTTTCAGCCAGTGATAGGGAATAAAACAGTTTGAATTTGAAAATTGCTCTGATCTAAATAGACCTGACCGAGCTGCAGCAAATTAGAGAAAGATTCTAACTTGGTATCGATGGCCAGAAATCATTTCTAGAGCATGATATTTAATAATGACAATCTTCTTTATGTTGCACCCTAAAAAGACAAACACTTCTCTCACCTCAAACACCAAACACAATTACCCACTGCTAAAAATAACAAATGTGTAGAATGGCCTGCCAGATCGCAGCCTAATTAACTCTCCGTTATAATTACAGCAGATGAATGCATCATTTGCTAGGTTCCATTGCAAATCAAAACTGCTAGGAGATTTGTGTTTATTTATTTAATATAAAAACAAAAAATGACATACTAGACATGTTTGAATTAAAATTTCCCTATGTTTTATTTGCTGGGTATTTTAGCCATTTTAATTATTTAATATAAAGACACACTTTGCTGTATCCATTACGTTATTTATCTCCAGGGATAAGCTACAAATATTCCACATTAATATATATTAGACACGCGCATTCATTGCAATTATATTTAAATAAATCGATTCATGTGGCAACAAATCAATGCATCCGAAAACCCCTTTTGATTAGTTTTTAAACAAATTGATTCACAGAGAGAAATAGTTGAGAATTTCACAGAAAAAAATTAAAAACAAATTTTAAAAACTAATCAAAAGGTTTTGTTTCAGCATTTTCCTCAAGTTACAAGAGTACAGTGATCTAAGTAACTTCAAACTGAATCTTGATAAGTCAGAAGCATTGAACATCATGATCTTAGATTGTGAGATGAATCAGCTGGTCCCAAATTTTCACTTTTGTTAGTGTACAGATAAGATTAAGTATTTGGGGATATAGATTCCACAGAATCTCAGAATTTCCAACTTCTATAAACCGCATCCTAGCAGATATGAAAGCTTGGACAGTGCCTCAATCATGGCAGGACACATTTTCTCAACTAAAATTAACATTCTACCTAGGATTCATTACCTGTTCCAGAACATCCCTGTGATCATTCCACCTGCATTTTTAAGTCTTTAAAATCTGTGTTGGTGAAATTAAACTGGAGTGTCTGCAGGCATAGACTCCACCTTGTTCAACTGATGAGACCAAAGCAGGAGGGGCGCTAGGGGCTGCAATATTTTATGGACTATTATAGAGCGGCCCATTTTATGAAGCTGGTGGAATAGTACAGTGCAAATTCTCAAAAGATATGATGTTGCCTTAAGAGGGAGATGTTGGGAAGCCAATCGTGGCTCTGGTGTGGTTACCAAAATCTTGCTCTAGAAAAACAATACGGGAACAACACCTTATAGGATCCACTCTACAGGTGTCACGACACTCCTTAGTTGATTTGCCCTCGTGCAGTACTCACACTCACCACTGTTTCTGTTTGGCACTGTTTCTGTTTTCTTTTCATTAAGCACTTCAGCTGGTCCTTGTTTAGCACCTATTTAGTATGGGTTCTCCCCTCACTCCTTGCCAGATCATTGCCTTTTTTCCTGTATTCCTGGTCTCCTGTGTTCCTGGCTCCTGCATACTGTGACTTGGTCCTGTGTCCTGTGTTCTCCTGGTCCTTCGTTGCTGTGTCCTCCGATCCTGACTCTGGTTCCCTTGTTTGGTTCCTGTCTCTTCGTATCAGCGTTCCAGTGTTTCCTGTCTGACCTTGGCTTTGCTCCTGGACTACTCTGATCTCTGGCTTCCCCTGACTTTGGCTTTCCTTGACTACGCATCTGCTAATCCCTGCTGTACTGCTACTTAGAGCACTGTTCCTAAAAAGCCCCCGTGCGCATTCTCACAGGCCAGGTGAGTTCTTCCCTGACCACCTTGGCCTGTGTTTACTTGCAAGGGTGAGCACATATATCTGCGCTACAGACTCCCATTCAGGTAAGCCATTACAGAATGATCTGGCTATTTGGAACCAGCAGAGAATAATGTCAAGGATCACGATGGATAAAATTGTTGGTATTAACGCAGATTCACAGCAAGAGTATGCTCTCATTAAAACTTGATCAGTTAAAACATATCCAGCGGCAGATAGAAATCTTATGCTTGTCTACTATAACTGTTTCTTTCCAAGTTCAGAAATCTGTATTATGTGGACTTATCACTGAACTGCAGACCTATCACAAACAAATATGTGACCCTTTGCTTTCTCAGTTACCTAATTGCAAAAAATGGTTGAGAAAGTCCCCTGTGATAAATAGGGTGAATTAACTTCTTTGTGTGTCTCTTAAAGAAACATCACGTAACAAATCTTTATCATTTATTCAGAAACAGTTAAGAGTTATGCACAATAATTACATTGCCTTGATTCCCGAA